GTGTTTTACTTCAGTGAACTGTTGTTCTAGCAATCAAATAATATTTGGAGTCATACTGTGAATTTGTTTGCTCTCTGTGGTGATTGCCCAGTAACTCACCAGTATGCTGAATTCTTCTGCCACCAGCTGATTCAGCTAATCTATTCTGCACAATCAGGAAAATGACATAAACTAAATTGGAATAACTAAATTATTAAAGTGTTAGGTGTGGACAAAGTAGACAGGCATCATTAGGATTTTTTTAAAAATTCCATGGATTAAGAAATATCAATTTATTTCTTTGTTTGCTGCAGACGGCTGCATTCCACAAGGGCCAAGATGTATTCAGTGAAATGCATACCTGCTATGATTAATGAATAACACAATATTTCTAATTGTTGCATAACTGCATAAGAATATGTTCACACCCAGGTTGTTCAATTTTTGTTCAATATGGCAGATTAATAACACAGTGATTTAACTTGCTACTCTCATGGCTGTTTGTTTCAAAAAAGCCATCCAAATCATGACCCAGAGGTGGACAAAGTAGACCAAGTAGGCTGTAGACCAATATCATGTCCACTTGTTGCAATTTCTGGGAGCTCCATTAAGAGATGAAACGTTGTTTTCCTTTCATGAAACTCATTGAAATGTTGTTCACTTACTGAGCAAGAAATGTAATGTAATTGTGCTGGGTAACTTCATGTCATTTTTGCATGGAATTGCCAATTCCGCTTAAAGGCTGAAAAATAAAATGTACAGTGATATAACTAGGATGGCTAAGAAAGGTTCACCTGATCATTTTTCAAGATTTTTGCAAAGTTCACCTGATCATTTTTCAAGATGTTGCAAGAACATGGATGCCTGAATATTTCCTGCCATCTGCATGCATGGCAGGGGGGTGGGGGGGGAGCTTAATATGCACATTGATGTGCCGGCACAAAGCTCCTCCACACATATATTTCAGAATTATCTCACTTGTCAGAAGAGAGTCGGAATTGGTCTGCAGAATTGGTCCAACAATGATTGTGTTTCTATTTTCCAGATTAAAATGTTTACTTCAAATGAATATGAGTCAACCCCCCACCCCGAAGTCGAGGAGCTCCTCAGGGCACCGGACGTTACAAAGGCACCAGGCCTTGACGGGTTACACCGTACGCAAGTACTTTGAGAGTTGGCGGGGGTTCTCTCACGCCTGCTGGCCTCATTTTTGAGGCCTCGGAGAACAGGTGAAGTTCCAGAGGACTGGAGGGTGGCGTCAGTGGTCCCAATTTTCAAAAAGGGTAGTAGAAGGGACATGGGGAATTACAGACCAGTTGGCCTTACGTCCATTGTAGGAAAAACAATGGAAAGGCTCATAACAGTGAGAGATCTAGTGATGCTAGATAGGGAAGGGAGGCTGGCAACCACACAACACGGCTTCTGCAAAAACAGGTCCTGCCAGGCAAACCTTGTGGAATTCTATGACAAGGTTTCAAGGTGGCTAGATGGAGGGGATTCAGCAAGACCTTTGACAAAGTGCCCCATGATATCCTGGTGGAGAAACTGGGGCGTTTTGAGATAGACCAATGCACTGTCCGATGGATTAGGGCATGGTTGACTGACCGAGAGCAGAGGGTAACCATTAGTAGGGAATCATTAGGATGGCGGCCAGTGACAAGAGGGGTCCCCCCTAGGGCTCTGGGGCTGATCCTGTTCAATCTTTTCATCAACATCATGGAATAAGGGGTGAACAATCTGCTGATCAAATTCACAGACGACACTAAAATGGGGGCAGTGGCCACAACTGAGGAGCAGGTACTCCAGATCCAGAAGGATCTGGACAGGCTGCGGAAGTGGGCAGGGGCAACAGGATGGCGTTCAGTGTGGTTAAGTGCAAGGTCTTACACTTGGGCACAGGAATGGGTGTCACAAGTACAGGTTAGGGGACAAGTGGATGGAGAGCAGCACTTGTGAAAGGGATCTCGGGGTACTGGTTGACTGCAGGCTAAACAAGAGTCAGCAGAGTGACACAGTGGTCAAGAGGGTGACCGCCACCCTTGGTTGCATAGCCAGAAGCATAGCTTCTATACGACTCTGGTGTGCCTGAAACTGGAGTAGTGTATTCAGTTCTGGGCCCCTCATTACAGGAAGGATATACTCAGGTTAGAGTCAGTGCAGCGTAGGGCCACAAGGTTGGTGGCCGGATTGCAAGGAAAGCTGTATGAAGTGAGACTGAGGGAACTGGGTCTTTCCAGCCTGGAGAAGAGGAGACTCCGAGGGGATCTGCTGGCGACATATAAGTATGTGAGTGGGTGTCACACGGAGGTGGTTAGAGACCTGTTCTCCCCTGCAGAGGAAGGCAGGACGTGCTCCAACAGAGCAAAGCTCAGGGAACCAAGGTTCAATTTAGATGCCAGGAAGTACTTCCTGACAGGACTCGGAGGGTATGGAACAGGTTTCCACAGGAGGTGGCTGAGGCCCCATCGGTGAGGGTGTTCAAAGACAGGCTAGACATGCATATGGTAGGCACATCATGAGTGGAGCCGGCTAGAGCTGGGGGTCAGACTAGATGGCCTGGGAGGCCTCTTCTGACTCGCTCTGTTTCTATGTTTCTAATATAATAGCAGGGATTTTCAAAGCAAATAATCTTTAACAATACTGGACACCAAAACTAATATTAACAGTACTTCTAGTGATATAAATAAACACTGGGAGAAAAAATGAATTTAAACAGTTCAAATTTAATGTCATTTTTAGAATTTGTGTTTTTGATACATATGTATGCTGCTCAAGCCAGGTGTGTCGAACAATTAAATGTATATTAAAAACATTTCCAGTAACCCAATAGAAAATCACTGATATGAGAATGTTTCTGGAAAGAATGCCACTCAGGAAACAAGAGCTTAATTAAATCCCTGGCACTTTGCCCCCAGTCCTTCTAAACACTTCAGTGCCAACAGTGCTTGCATGTATGAATGCTTAAATCCCACACGCTTCAATAGCACTTAATGGTTATGGGTTGGCAATCATAGAGAACAAATCTGTGATTCCTAGACAGTGTCAAAAGGTCTATAGAATTATGCAGGGAAAACCATCCAAAGGGTTAATCAAATCTCCATTCCTGGAGACCTCCTGTCTTCTCCCAGCCACTCCGAATGGTTTCTACATTTCTACGACTTCTTGAAAGTTGGGAATCTAAACTCATGGATGGTGGTGCAGAACAGGAATGTTGTGGGTGTGATAGGACAGAGTAAATAACCAGGGCATTGAAGAAGCTATCAAGCTATCAAGATGAGATGGCCTGATCAGAGCACGTCCTGGTGAAATTCTTTCTTCCTGCTGGGGTGGAGGATCCAGTAAGGCAATCCATTCCTCAAGAGCGATGGCATCCAAGGGATTCCTGAATGTTCTAGAGGGTTTTTCAGTGGGTCTGTCCTTGCTGCGCTATAGAACGCTGAGATACAACAGACCATGGGAACACTGGCTTGTGCGTGCCCTTTCTGGCGCTATGATGCTCCAAGGGACCCCTGGTTTGCTGGGGGATGCCACACAATGCAGCAGATGGCTACCTGTACGTGGCATGAGGTGGAAGGTGGCCAAGCACGTGCCGGGGGGCCTCATTGCGCCTGCCATGTGGTGGAGCAGGTGGCAAAGGCAGCTTGCTTATCAACAAGAGCTACTTCCATTCTCTTTCACCAGCATTTAGATGGTCCTTTTCAACTTCATTACATCAAGGCATTTGTCAACGGATTATCCAACTCAGAGTATAAAGTTGTTAAATTGTCAGTGACTTAAATAAGAGCTATATTTGGTATATTATAGTTTGATCTTTGTTTTTTACTACTTCAACTGTTCGTGTTAATATAAGTTTGATAAATCAACTAAATCTGTGATATAAAGTTTGTAGCAAAATGCCGCGGTAAACATTTTTGTCCTGAAGCTGCAGATATTCCTCCTAGATTTAATAATCAGAGAAGAATTTGCTCCAGTCTGAATATTAAAACACTGTGATGTCTAGTTTGTTGCTATGTCATTCTCTCCAGTGAAACCAAAAAGTTTATTTTACTTTTATATGGAAACCTAAAATACCATTTTTCCTTAAATGGAGATCAAATTTAGAAGATCACTTTTGAGTGGAGGAGCACGCATGTGTAAACATCTCTCCTGTTTTTCCTAATCCAAATCGCATACACAGACAACTTTTCCCTGTGCCAGGTTCCAGATGAACACTGAAAGGCTAAACACACATCCTGAACCCCACGAAAAGAAAAGCAGTTGCATGGAAATGGTAGGAAATCTCCTCACCACCACCTCAAAGTGGTTGGGGGCAATGGAAAACAATGGCCGATGAACAAATAAGCCTTTTATCTCATCGAGCTGGGCTTTGGTTATATTCTCAAAGCCACTTCTAATTTCAGAAGTGGGGGCTGCCTTTCATATTTATATCTAATGAGCCTTTTGATCCATAGAGGAATATACCAATTTTGAACCACTGCATACTATGCAGTCCCAGTTGTGGACAAGCCCACACACCCAAGCATGTGCCACTCACCAGAGCACAGACCTTTAACAACTGGTTGGCCACAAGGAGAAGGGGGCAGGTGTACATGAGAAGTGTGCACAAGCCTTCCATTCTGCGCAACAGCTGGCACACAGAACCAGAGAAATGGGAGAAGAGGTTCTATGGATCCCAATGGACATGGAACAATGCACTAGGTGCAGGTTAGACACAAGGAAGAATTTCCTAACTGTAAGAGCAATATGTCAGTAGAATTGATTGTTGAGAGGGGATGTATGCTCTTCCACACTAGAGACATTCAAGAAGATAGTTATCTGACTTGGTGTAACTTGGTGTCCTGCACCGTCAGGGAGTTGGACTCAATGATCTTCTTGGCCCCTACCATTGTATGGTTCTATAAATGAACGGTGCCCCCTTTCCCTGTTAATCTTTACGGTCTTAAAATAAATAAACCTTAAATAATGCTTTAGCTACACAATCCTGCATTGCTGATTCCTTTGTTGGGTGTACTTCTGTTTGTTTATACAAAGCTCTCTTCCATATTGGTACAAAGCAAAAAGGAATCCACAAGCCTGGGCTTTACCAGCTGCTGGACATCTGACTCCTGTAGGCCGTCGGGGCTCATCACGGCCAGACGCCGCAAGGCTGCCTGTAAGAGGATGTGACAACATGGTACAAGCATGAAAAGCCAGGTCAGCATCACAAGCTTCAGCAGATACCCCTGGACCACTGAGATCCAAACGGCACATCATGCGCCATGTGAGGCACGTAACTAAGCCTGTGGCTTTACTTTAATTAATTGCAGGTGGCTGGAAGGGGTTCTTTGGGGAGGTGGCAGCATGTGGGAGAGGGAGGAACAAAAATAGTTCTTGAAAACTGCAGGTGGTTTACGTGCGAGTCACACCTGAGGAGCCGGGAAAGCACGCCGATCCCTCCCTGCTGCCCTCCCAGCAGCAGTCAAGCAGCTGGACATAAAGCCAGACCAGAGGCCTCGCTTCATACCACACATTGTGTGGAACATGTGGCTTGGCCTTGATTCGATGTCCATTAACACTCTCCTGGCGATGTATAATTGATTTCAGGACAAAATCGTTATTTATTTGTGTACTTAAAGGTCAGTTGGGACTGGTGCATTGTACAAAAAACCCACAAAGAGTAAAGCACCCTTCTATAATGCACGCACGCATTTAGGGTTATGGGGTCAGGGCAAGCAACAGCCATTGTCCATCATGACATGGCCACCTCCATGTCCAAAAGGTTTTACACATGATATTGCCATGTTGGCACTCATATGCCTTCTTCCGCAGGTGCCTTCTGGACGCAGTCATCCTGAGCGCATCCCTCCATCTGTGCCGTATTGTTGCTTTTCACTGACCTCTCCAGCAAATTACTTGCTGTACTTCACAGCGAGGCATTAGCCTAAGTTTGCAAACATTCAAGTCTGACGTGCTTGAAAAAACCAAGGAACTGCCCTGGAACTAAGTGGCACGAGATCTTTGGTGAGTCCAAAGCAAAGTGTCACACAGTGTTTGCATTTTAATGCACTGAAATGTTTACCCTAGCAATAAAGTTGCTGCCCATTTCCCTTGAGCCAAGATGCAAGAGCTGCTCTGGAATGACTATGTGACTGTCAAGCAGAGGCATAGCCTTTGTGCTAATTGTAATTGTGAGCTCTCTGAAGGTCAAAATAGACATTACTTTAAATGTGTCTTACAGTTATGACTTTTCTTTTACTCTAAAGTAGGCACATAAACTAATTCTGGTCACAGGCTATTGTAAGAGTTGGGGTGAGGTCTTTCAAGATCTGGAATGGGGTCCTGTGCCTACTCTAGAGTAAAACAAGAAGCAAAGCAGAGCTGTTGGACACATTTAACGTAATCCCTGTCTTGGCCTAAAATTCAGTGGGTCATATTTTGAGCAAAACAAACTTGATTAAAGCTATATTTTTGTTACTTTTTCCTGAAGAAAACCTTCCAGGTCATCCCAAGCTCACAAGCCATGAATTCTATAGCTTTTCCATCCTTAATTGCTTGATTAATGGTCTCTTCCAGCCATGCCTTTGCTAAAATCCTTTTGTATTAAGACATTTTAACATTCCTACAGCTAGCCCGTTCCTTGTTAGGTTTGCACTTGACAGAAAAACACATTCTGTTTCTGTTCTGTAAGGCAAGTGATAAAGTGTACTCTTTGGCTTCAGTAAGGAGGTCAGGTGGAATGAACCAAACACCTAGAAACACGCTCCTTTTCCTTCAGAAGGAAAAGTACTTCTTTTTTTCCTCCCAATCCATCCTATCCTTCCCCCCAAACTCTCCATCCTTTCCTCAGTCTGGGTGTAAGAGTGTGTTAGAGTCAGCTCAACCACCAGTCTCCCGGACTACTTCCCACTAGGTGTCAAAAGATAACCATCACATTTGTTGTGCACCAGTGTTGTTCAAAAACAATGATTTTATGCTTCAGCTGTTTTGGCTTAATTCTGGAACAGGGAGCTGAATGTTCCAACTGAACAGGCTTCACTGAATTCATGCAAGGAGCATCCTCCTTCAAAACAACTACTAAAAAATATGCCACTTGAAAGTATTCCCTGTCTCCCAGAACCTGCAATTCTGTTGCCTGGCATAAGGCACATCTGTTTCTATGGAACTGGTGCCAAGGAAGCACTTTGTAGGTGAGTCTTCATTCTGCTCTTGAGTCCTGCACAGATTTATAATTTCACCTCGGGCAAGCCACTGCGTTTCTCCACTTAACACTGTCACAGCTGAAAATTGACAGCAGAATTATCTTTGCATGGTAATTCACATGCAAGTGCTTCCATTTTGATTCGTGTCTTTAAGCATTGCCATTTAACAAATAATAAATCACGTGATTTCCAAGCATTTAGGGACTAAAATGGGAGTACAAAACTCCATCTTACTGGTATATTCCTACCTGCGACTCCATTGCTGATATGACTAAAGTGTTTGATAGAATATTAGATATTGAATCTACTTGTTTTGAAATGCAAAAGAATCCCAGTATATAAGCCTGTATTGTATGAAGATGGCTTTCCCTGAAAACACTGCAGCAACTTCAAAAGTAGCATTAGTCATGCTCACTGTTTAAGCATAAAGTTGAAAAAAGCCAGTGTGGTTTTTTTTTTTTTTTTTTTTTTTTTTTTGCGGTTAAGAGTGTAGGCCTGGGACTCAGGCGATCTGGGTTCTAGTTCCCCCTCAGCCGTGGAGCGAGCTGGATGACTTTTGGCCAGTCACAGATTCTCAGCCCAGCCTACCTCACAGGGTTGCTGTCGTGAAGGCAAGATTGAGAGCAGCAGGAGAACTGCACTCTAGCATGGAACAAGAAATTCACGGTGATTTTTGAAAAGCAGTACTTCTCTAGAAATGTATAGCAAACAACCCAAGAAGGATACAATGTGCTGTGAAAATGACGCTACTACCCTGCATATAATTCTGAGGAGCTGAATTCCAGCTCAGCGATTTAGAAGAGCTGAGCAGGGCTGTGAAGGGTAGCGCATTTTGAAGGGTGTTCGTTCACAGGGCTGCCATTAGCTGAAGACAACTGGATGGCAGCTAACAACGGCGGATTCAGCAAAAGACTCCCACCGACAAAACTTTTTGCTGGCAGAAGGGTTTGAATCCAGCAGAGCTTCCTGCTGGCTGAACCAGGGAGAAGGCAATTCCCTCCTCATCCTGGGACTCCGTATATGCCCCCAGAATCTGCTCCAGATAGGTAGGGAACCCTCCAGGTCAGTGGGGGAAGTGAGGTTAGGGCCTCAAGGGGAGCAGGGATCTTCCCCTTTTTTACTAGCAGAAACTTTTTGGGAAGAGCTTCCATTAGGGACATTCCTGCTAGTGGAATAGAACTCAGGATCCATGTGTGCATTTGTGTGTGTGTGTTTTGAAACCCACAGGAACCGTGTGGTAAAGAAGGAATCATGAGATGCGCTTACCAGGCAAGCAACAAGAACAGAATCACTATTATTTCTTTCAGTAGGAGACCTGCAAAGCTCTATGAGACGTGGAATACCTATAAGTAAACAAAGAAAGAAAGAAAGAAAATGGTGAAAACGTCTGTTTTCAACCCACCAAAATTGTGCACAATGATTCAGTACAGCATATTGTCTATTTTTAACCATTTATTGATTACTGCAATGGGACCCTACAGAACAGGAAAAAAAGAAAAAGAAGTTTCCCTGCCATATGTGAGAAAGACTTATGAAATGTGATGCATTTTGAACAACAAATTATAGTTGTATGGCTCACAGGTCATTGTCAGTGGTGTTCTCAAGGACTGCAAAACCCTTCATTATGTTAGGTATACACTTACAGACCTTTATCAATGATAATTCTATTTTCAGGGACAGGGACTCCTACGTCCTGTTTTTCCACATCTGGAAGACCCCATTTGTGTTATTGAAAGGCTGTAAACCAAGAACAGTTCTGCTTCTTCTATCAGTTCCGAAGGAATAGTGGAAAAATACCCTAACCTCTTTCTTTTCTTTTAGGAAAGTTCAGTGTAAGTTGTTTTCCGTTTTGAGGGGGATAATGCTCAAAAAGTTGATGCTATCGCCATTGATCGTAATAGGGCCACACTGGATTCAGAGGTTAGCCACAGGGTAAAGCTGTCCGCACAGTGCTGCAAAATTTTGGAGCATTTGGGATAGCAGATGGTGGGCTCAATAGTGCAACTACATAATTCTAGAACCCGGACTTAATAGTTTAATGTGTGGGGTGGGGACAGGGGAGTTTAAAAGACTGTGTGTACTCCTTCGGTTGTGAAACACATGGCTAACCTTTCTCTTCTCTCTCTGAACTCCCACCCTGTTCAATATGCATAGGGGAGGGAATCCCTGCATGCTCGGAATATAACAATCCTCAGAATAATGGACTAGCCCTCAGATGTAATTCAATTGATACGACAGCATGTGGACAATGCCTTGAACTGAATGAAGTCAAGCTGCTGCCTCGTTGCTTCGCAGGATGCAACACAGTGCATAGTTTACACATGCCAGGGTGTTGAGCATTACAATTCTTACAGTTGAGTTTTATGGCTGCATGTGCCACTTCAGGATCACGGCTCAGCCGGGCAAGCGTGACAGCGGCTTTTTGCTGAACGCGTTCACAAGCAGCTACTTCCGGAGGATTTCCAGAGGATGACTTCTCTAACAGCATTTCCATTAAAACCTGAACACCTACAAAGGAGTGAAATATTATTGATAATTATCCCAGACAGGAAGTGCAAAGGGTAGAATTAAAAATGAAGGAAGACAGAAAGCATTGACTGAAGCAGTATTGTGGCCTCCAAAATATTGTTCTTCAGATGCTGAATTTAGAGGTTCAAGTGCTGACTCTCCACTTAGGTAACAATGCAGAAGCCAATTCTGATAAGGAGAAATGGTGACATTATGTTGCTTCTGTAACTTGTTACTGCTGCAGCTGGGCCTTGCCTGGGCCACATTCTCTGCAAAATACTGTATCAGTCCCTGAGAATGAACACTTCGTTTGCACTGATGAGAACATCAGTCTACCAAAACCTACCATGTGTGTCCCTCAAGAAACGCATGGAGGTGAAGGTTATTTATTTATTTATTTATTAAAACATTTCTATGCCGCCCCTTGCCAAGGCCTCGGGGCGGCTTACAATAAGGATAAGCATACAAAAAATGCATCAACAAGCTGTTGGGTGTTCTACTTGGATACAAATACTGGACTTCAAAATATCCTCCCAGAAAAACAGATGTAAATAACGATTCTTAAAATTAAAAACGCTAGTGACTGAAAGTAGCTGGATTCTGTATTACCATGACAAAAAAATGCAAACTGATCCATGCAAAAATGTGCATGCAAAATGATCCACGCCAGTATGTAGAACAGCAGCCCTATTTAGGCATCCTCAGTCTGGGTAAACCAAACATGCAAAAATGGTCAACAGCTCCTGCCTTCTAAGATATTGCAATTGCCCATACTTGACGAATGTGATTCTTCAAAAGAGTTTTTCTTCTTGCATCTGAGAAGGTTCTCTGCACAATTAAAAATGCTCAAAAAATCTGTGTTTGGGGGACACAAGCCTGTGCTCTTCAGAAAGTCACCCTCACCACATAGGGAGCAATGAATGCAATGATGGAGGGAGAACAGCAAGTCTGTGTACCTTTTTACATGTTTGCTATATCCACATCATGAATTCCTGAATAAGGCTAAGAGATTAAATCATCCAAAACTTTTAAACCATGCAAAAGGTCATCTTTGTAAACAGATTTAACAGAAGAAGCATAAATTAATCCCTCCAAACAAACACATGCCAAGATGTGGTTGCAATTTAATATTTCAGCAGTGTTTGTTATGAATCAGAAATATAGATCATTCCAAGTATTAACAGCCCTGAGCCAGAAGCATTTGTTTCGGATTTTAAATGGTTTCTCAATTTAAGTAACAGCTCCCAACTCAGTGTCAGGATTCTGATTAAGCCTTGGGTAAGACTGGTCTCCTTTCATTTCATTTCAAGGTTTCCATCAGATTTGGGAGATATGACAAAGATGTAAGACTTGCTAAGGGGCGGTTCCATTGAGAGAGTGCTTTGCCCCCCCCCCTTCTTGACTCTGAAAGCAAGAGGAGAGGAGAGGAGAGGAGAGGAGAGGAGAGGAGAAGAGAAGAGAAGAGAAGAGAAGAGAAGAGAAGAGAAGAGAAGAGAAGGCTTTGTCAAGTAACTGCCAGATTCTCTGCAGCTGTTAATGCTGGCCTGGTACCTCAGGAGCTCCTGGTGTTCCAAGCAGCTCAGCAGCTTCAGCTTTTCAACTGTGCAAATCCCAGAAATGCTCAGAGCATTCCTGCTGCTCCAGGGCCTTCCCCAGAGCGGGAAAGTGTCAAAACTGGTTTTCTTGTGCTTCCACCAAACAGATCAGGACTAAAATTTTCTTCTGTTAAAAATGGCCAGCTAAGCTGACTCTATGATAAAAAGAAGGCTATCGCAGCAATCAGTAACAAAAGAAACAAGCCAAGTTAGAACAGTGGCCATTAAGGAAACACTGCTTAATGATAGAAAGTGGATTCTGAGCTGAATCCTCTCCTCCCTTCCAAGCCAGAAGGCGCTGGCTCCCCCTTCAAGGGGGAACCCACTGCTTACAAGTGGTCCTCACCCACATCAGCTTCTTCACTCATCTTTCCCATCAAGCTAGAAAGTTTCTGACTTATCTCTGCATTCAACTGGTCTTGGTAAGGCAACTGAGAATTCAATTGTGTGTTTCAAAGCTGCTTTTCTCAGTGGCTCTTTGAATATCATCTCTTACATTACTTGTCATCATCATCATCACCACTGATATTTTCATGATCAAAGTTGCAATGGGTTGTGTGCATGTGCGCATGTGTGTGTTTGAATGAGGGAACAGAGGTCTTTTCGTTTTGTGCAGGATTCCTGCTGGCTTCCCAAGGGAAGGGATATTCTCATCATAATTTTTAGTTTCACATGCAAAGGGATGCCCATGAATCCATCTAGTCAGGAATGTTGTACGGTGCTGCTTCTGATTAGGTCAGCCCTGGTTGATTCTTTCTGATGGACATACAAAAGCATGGCTTTTTGGATACTTTCAGAACTTACTCCTGTATTCCAAAGGCTGCTTTTCTTTGCGACTTTCAAAATATAATGTTCTATTTAATTATTCCCATTGCTATTGTGACTGTGTGGATTCTTCCTGGCAATTTTTGTCAGGGCTACAGTGGGGGAGGAATAGCCATCTCACTGCAGAACACAGAAACATCCACCTTCACAAAACCCTGTGTGAGGTTGTGGGAAAGGATGCAGCAGTGAGTCATGCATTGAGCATCAGGCTGAGTTGGATCACTACCTTGGATGCAGCCGTGTGAGTAGGTAGAACATTGCAGTGGGATATTAACCTGCACCACAACAGGCTGTGAATGGGGGAGTTGATTTTTTTTTAATATCCCCCACTCCTTCTACATTTAAAAAAAAGTCTTTTGCAAATGCAAAATCAAAGGGTATACCAGAACTTTTTCTCCCTGGTGTCCAAGCTTTCTATTTGCAGGGTATTTCTACATGGAGGAGCATATATAAAATGGCATCTCCCCTGCACCGGCATCCTGGGTAGTCTATTCCACCACATTTATATTCTATCAGTCCTTTTTGTTGCACGTGAAGCCCCTGCCCAAATGCATGGCTTAGGTATGATAAAGGAGTTCAGAAAATAACCCCTGAATGGACAGGTGAAGAAAAGCTATCCAAGCATAAAGGATATTCGATAGGGTTAATCCATTCATCATTGCTCCAAAATTGCCCAGCAGTTACAGGAAGCCGACCTATTGCTCTGCATCCCACATCCTATTACAATTGTGGAGATACATACCATTTCCTTGGATTATTTCCGAAGCACACTGGTCCAGGACAGACATGTTGGCTAATATTGTCACAACCTGATTAAAAAGATCCAACAGATCAAAATGTTACTGCACACCAGCCTTACCATAGCATTCTTCCAGTTACATAAGCAACCTCTTCCATTTCGGGAGCCTCTCTTATTTCTCCCCTTTCATACCAGCTATTACTACGTGGAATGTGGCTTTGCAGTATGAGGCATCCCTATGACAAGAGGCAGCCTGGTTCCAAGCCCTGAGGCTTTTGTGAAGTCCTGTAAGATTTCATTTTAATGTAGCAGAGAAACTGGATCTTCCTTTGGTCTTTACAGTCTGGTGCAACAGCTCATGAACTCTGGTAAATGCCCTCCTGAAGCTATTCCTGTTTTTCAAAAAATTATTATGATTGTTATACAGGTGCTGCTTCACTGTCGCTTGCCTCCTCTTTCCAGTGCTGCTAAGCCTTTCAAAAGGAAAAGGAATCCGTTTGCAAATGCATATCTGGCTGTCCACCAACAGCAAAGCCATTGGCTCTTCCCTGCATCAAGAAATCCATCCAACTGTGATATCGAAAAGACTTCACAATGCTTTCTGTGGAGGATATCAGGGGCCAGCACTGGTGGCCGCTTACGATTTGCCAAAAAAGAGGAAGTGTATTCCCAAAAAAAGGGCAAAAAAGGCTAAAGTTTGAATAAAATGTGTATACGCTAATGTGCACATACGGAGGCAAATTTAGACATCATGCTTATAATTTAATTAGAAACACAGCAGGTCTCACCATAATGTGAAAGACTGTGGATTGGTGAGCGGTCCAGGCTGTTGCATGGGTGCCAACTGCTGATGGAGTTTTATCTTTAAACTGGAGTTGGGCAGGGCACCTTTTCAAATGGAGTATGCCTTCAAATAGAGGACTGTCCTTTTCCCAAGAGGACACACGGCCTGACCAGTACCCATCAAGGCCCCCTCCCCTGCAGGGCACACACTGCCAACTCTGAGAGCTCTCCGGCTCTGCTACTCTTCCTCCTCCTTGCTGCCCGTGGGTGTTCATCTGCTTTCTCCAAGTATTTAAAGCAGGGATGGGCCACTCATGGTTCTTCAGACGCTTTGGCCTACAGCTCCCCTCAGTCCTTACTATCGAATATGCTGGCAAGGGGTGATGGGAATTGCAGGCCAACACATCTGGAGGGTCCCAAGTTGCCCTGAAAGAAGCAGTGGCAACAGCTTTCTCTTCCCTTGCCCCTTTTATCTTTCAGTGGAGGCGTGAACTGGATCCAAGGAAAGAGTGCAAAACAAGCAGTGTTAACTGCGTAACCCATGCAATGGTGTGCTAACTTGTTTGTTGATTCGCATGATACATTTCATAGTCTTCCCAAGGCAACATACAGCATTCAGTATCAGTTCAGCAGGTCCATCAAATCATAAATGTATTTTTTAAAACTTCAAAAATGACCAAATTACCATAAAAAACCATTAGAAACAAGCCAAATCAAACACTTATTGAATCTACAAAAGCAGCATATCTAATAAAACCATTGCACTTAATAAGGGCATCTTATTCGAGGGCCCCCAAAACCTGTTGCTGGCAGTCTGTAAGGATTTCCACTTTTCAAATACAGTTAATGTTGCTTCCTTTTTTCGCCTGGCTAAAACCTGCCTTTTCTGGATCACCTTCATTTTGCATCTGTGTTGCATCATCCGCTGCCAATCTATCCCTACTGCCCATCAGCCAGGAGTCATTTTTTTAGATGCTGCCCTCTCCACCGTTCTGTCCTGGGGATAGTTCTCGCCTTCATACTCATCCCTCCATAACTGCAAGATCACCTGATGACTTCCCCATGTGCGTAAGCTACCACAGCTGTAAAATCACAGCAGCCCCAACTGGTTCAAAGAGCCTGGAAGGACATCATGAGAAATATGCAGCCCAAAGCCCACAAGGCAGAGCATGTGCTCTGCTCAGCACTCAGCATATTGATACACTAAACAGATGATAAGAAGTGTTACCAAGGAGGTGCCTTGCAAATCAGCAAGTGTGAGAATTTGCAAACAGTTAAAAGCACTTAAATGCAGATAATGTTTGTTGGAACTCACAGGAAACTATTTGAGATAAAATGGAGAAGGCAAACAAACACTTTGATGTAGCTTTAGGCCGGAGTCGGTACATTCAAACAAATAAAGCTGCCTGATGCCAGGTTGCTGCCACTTTGGGTCTTGCTAGGACATTAGTACTAGTAACAAAGGAGAGCCCCACCTACGATGCAAATACCTTGATGAAATGGCAACAGTGACAGGTAGAAATGCAGCTACTCAAGATACATCTATGCATTTATTTCATGTTAATTATTAACAGAGTTTCAGGCACAATGTATGTATGTATTCCTTCATTTTAAATTATATTCTGCTAATGAAAATTACTTACTCTGTGAAGAGCCCTACACCCCACATGGCTTTCTAAGCAAAAGATGGGGAATTCAATTAAGGACAATTTGAATACATGCCAATTATTCCTTTCTTCAAGTTATTTTATCTAATAAACATTCTGAAAATCAAGACACATATTTATACTGTGTGCCTTTCAGTGCTGCAAATTATTTGAGTGCTGGGTTTATATTGGATCAATCAGCCCAATCCCCCTTCCCTAATTATCCAAACCTTTCCATTTGTGAGATATACATTCAGTGACCATAGGTCATTCTAGTTAGCTCTTTAGCCTAGGAGTTCATTCAACACCAAATGTTTAAAAGACAATAATAGTGTACAGGATTAGAGAAATGCGCACAGAAAATCTTCACTCTGAATCTTCATTTAATTAAAACTGCAACCATGAGACTTGGCATAGGCAGTCAGACCAATGGTCCATGACACCCAGAAGCCTCTGTCCAAACGTTGGAGTAATGAGTTACTGGTTTCAGGCAGTCCTAGACTTGCCTAAGAGTCAAGTGCCTAGAAATCACTAACCTTCATCCCTGATCCAACTTTCCACTCTATTAGTTTCTTAGAATCGCTTATCTAGTCAGAGCACTTGAATTGCATTTATTATGCCTAACAACCATTACCGCTTTTCTCAATGACAAGCACTCACAGTACATGCAGAACCTTTGATTAACCTTCATTATGCACCCTGAAATGTACCTCTGAATTTCGGGTTGGATTCCTTTGAGAAATGAATGCCTTATCACAGCACAATGCAATAGTTGTGCAACAATAATTGGACATTATGATAAATAGAAGGACACAATTCCAGTGGCCTAATCTCCAGGCAACCATATTATTAGGTCTGGTGCCCAGCCTTCGGGAAAGCGCATCACGTGCTCCCTGCCAAGCTGCACCAGGAAAAAACAGCACAACGCAACCGGCTGATCAGGGATGAGCTTTGCTTGCAGGTGCTCTGAGCACGTGCAGCACTCCCTCCTCCGGTGTATCTCTGCTGTGCTTACAAAGAGGGGAGGGTGCTCTCCCGTGGCTAGAGTAATGTCTGAACTCCCCTTGAGGGAGCAGACACAGAATGACGTGAGGAGGGGAAAAATGGTAAGAGATCACAAGGGGGGAAAAACCCGATGCAAGGGAAAACTGTTGAAAGGGATATGATTATGGCAGAGAATGGTGTGGAAAAGTTATAAAACACTTTGCAACCTCTATCTACCACCTCCCAAATAACACATAGAATAGGTTTATAGTTCTTCTTTATTGACACCCAAGCCAGCGCAAAGTTTAAGAACTCTCGGGCTCTCGGAAAAAGGGGAACACCATTCCCTGCAGCCTCCCCCCTTTCAAACTGTGTCCTAAGAGGTTTGCTCAAGTTCCCTTCACTGACCTGGTTTGCAGTGTCCACGGAGCTCCTGGGGGGTGGCTCAGCATATCACCTGACACCCCCCCCTTCCAGCAGTGGGTTATCAACACCCTAACTGGCCATGCGCAGAGTGTGGGGGAAAAGCTCTCCAGGGCCACCACATGCAGCCCGCTCAGGCCCCATTTAGGGCAAAACACCATTCCGGCTCAGTTCCTTGAAAGGAAGGGAGGCCGAGTGCCTGGCTGCGGCTGCTGCTTGCCCCCGGCGCCTGCCTGCACAGCCTGCCCAAGCGTGGGGCGTGGTGGGAGCAAACAGCAGGTGCCCACTGGGGCGGCCCTGGCAGGCACTGTGCCCGCCAGCCCGTGGCGGGGAGCTGCGAGGGGGAAGAGGCGGCCGAGCAAGGAAGGGCGAGGTGCAGCTGCGGGGTGGGTACTTCCAGCTGGGCCTCCTTGGGAAGAAGTCATACAACTGTGCTGCCTTTGCTTCTTCTGGCACCCACGGGTGCTGTGGCAGGTGAAAGCAAGCAGTGCACAGAAGCACCCCCCCACCCCCCAGCAAGCAGCTTACCAAGGGGAGGGATGCTTCTTTTGACCCCTTCTCCCCACTGCTTGGGCAGGGCCAAGGGGCAGGCCAAGATGCCTCCCCACTCCAGGTCCCCCCCGATCCGGTGCCCATGCAGGGGAAGCCTGCCCCCAAGCTATCCCACTTTCCCAGCATGGGCAGGGAAGCAGATGGCAGCTGCTGGAGTTGCCTGCTTTCAGCTCCTGGCACCAGCTTCCTGCAGCGCCCCTGCAGTGCCCCCACAACACCGGCTGGAGACTTAGGCAAAAGTGGGGGCAGGAGATGCCTCAGGGCCTCCAGGATGCCTCTGCTGTGGTGAACAGGCACAACCAAGTGACGACTCGTTGCACTGCTGCGCTGCATGCATGTAAAATCCGCACACCGACAAGATGGTCCTGAAGAGGATGGCCTTCAACAGCATCCACCCACCATCCGCCCCCTGAGCAGGCATTTGAACCTGTGCGTCCCACGTAAAAACGCCAAAACGCACACGCCCTTGCATGTAACAGTGGCGAAGCGGAACTGTCGTACCGTGTGGCCCACGGGGCGCTTAGCAAACGGTCCCTGCCTAAAAATGTGCTGCGTGTGGCAAGGGAGACGTAGGCTTTCGCTTCTGCTCTCCCAAACCTATTTGGGGACCAAGGCACATGCCTTTGTGCATGAGCAGGTTGCACCCACACATTGGCTGCAGCCGCACTAAAGGAGGGGAAAG